ACGAAATCATTGAACAAATTTCCTTGCTTCATTTTCGCGTTTTTTTTAATAAAATGGAAAGCAAAATATCGGTACCGAATGCCAAAAGTATCGATATGGTATCGTATCGAAATTCGTGTCCCTATCGTTTTCTGAAATGGTGTCACTTTGACTTTAGTTGTCAAAATAAATTTGTATATCTAGACGAATTTTCATATACGTTCAAGTTTTAGGGACTGGAAAATAGGTTAAAAATCGAATTAACCGTGATATATTTGGACGCTGAATCGGATGGAAAATTGAAGTGCACAAACAAGAAGTGAAAATTATGCAAAATCGCACCTGGGAAGAATGTAAACAAATACACCTGGGGTGAATGAGAAGAAGAAGCAGGAATAAAACGTGTAGCTATTTTTGCGCTTATGTGTTGGAATTTTTGCTATTAGGCGCGTTTCAGCAGCTGCTGGAGCTGAAAAAATAATTTAATATAATAATTTAGCGCAGAACCAAGTAAAAATAAAACAAATAAACTTAGATATACATCTTTCCAGTTTAGCGTACACGTTCTTGGTTGGTTTTGGTGACTCGGTGCGTGAAATAGTAGTTTTGTTAACCTTGTAACTGCATTACAATAGAATACGATTACAAATGTGGTTTCGTTAGAGCTTTTTTTATATTTGAACCAAATTTGTCTTTGTAAACACGAAGGGCAAACAATATTAATGCTTGGTGAAAAACGGTGACGAGAAGCAGTAGAAATTGTTTTAGATTGTCCGAAAATGGTAAGCATTACAATAAACTCCGAAGAATTAAAGAGCCTTTGGTCTGTTCTTATGTATATAAACATATGTATAAGTGGATGGAATAGTTTCCATAAATAGTGCTGTAAGATTTTATAATAGACCAAGTATATACACTTTTTATAAGAATCTTTTACAGCTTGGTTCTCCTACCTGCCGCCTATGGGAACTAGTTTTGCAAACTACAGCCTTGTGCGAGTAGTGCATTGAACCACTGTGCAGATTGTATTATTTATGCTAAACCGGTTTCAACATTTCAATTGGCTTAGATGATCATAAAGTGTAACAACTTTTACAAGAAATTTTTGTGTACACGAAGATCAGTTTGTGGGCTATAAAAAGATCCAACTCATGTTATAAATCATGGTATTTGTAAAGAAGTTAGGGCTCGCATACCGTTTTGTAATTATTTGGAAACATTATGAACACTACTGTTATTAGTCTGTTGCATTCATAAAGATATTCAAGCATTATAATTTAAAAGCAAATATGTATACACAATTAATTCTGCCAATTTGTTACTTTCTATCCGCGTAGCGTCTCTGCAACGGACACGCGACTGGTTTGTGGTACAATTCAAAATAACTCATCTATTGTATGTTGG